AATTTTTCATCGAGATGCCAAGGTTTTAGGTTGAATTACCAAATAAATAAATTCATATAAAAAAAAAAAACTTTTATTGAGAATGTAGAACCGGAACTGACCTTTCTTCCTCAGCTACATTTGATTAATGTTATGTTCTCCTACTACAAACTTAAAATTTCCTAAATGTGATTTGATGTTTTTTAGCGCAAGAAAGAAATTAGTTAGCATTGGTACTACGCTTCGTTATCCTTTTTTTGTTTAGAGAGTTTTAGAAGCGATAATCATTCGCTGATTGGAATTCTTTTTTAGAAAAAAAACTCTTTTTGGAAAATCTGAGGTTCTACAATTTTCAACACATTTTTTAATAGTGATAGCAATTTCTTCTCTCTGCAGAGCTCAGCAAGATAGTGAGAACTATGAGCAGCTAGCGAAAAATCACTGTTTTTCAAACTTAATTTTTTGGGAAGGAATTTTTTGTTTTTGTTGGGTAGTAAATTTCAAAAATTTTTTTTTTTATTTTTCTGAAATCGATATCAATACACTTGATGATCTATGTTGAAATTGAAATTTGAATGCCTTGTCCACGTGATAAACGTTTTTTACCATTTATCATGCAAAAATAATAAAATCTTTTTTTCCAAGTGAACAGAAAGAGATTTGGTTTTAGTTAATGTGATAAAGATCACTATTAACTAATATGTTTTTAATTAACAAGCTTACAACTGAAAACACAACGTGGAGCTTTTTTCTTTTTTTTTATTGTTATTATTGTGCATGCTGCGCTACGCAAGAACCAAAATCTATTTATATTAACATCATGTTAATATTAAAGTTAAGTTTGATTTGGATTGCGCCTTCTTTATCATAAAGAGTAAAAAAATCATATCACTTAAGTCAAAACAATAGTCAATTTCATTAAATTCGAAACATATAAATGGGATGGCCGTCCTCATATTTTTTTTGTAACAGAATTTAACATTATTTTATAATTAATTTATTTATTCACCAAATGTTACCACCATATAATCTCCAATTAAGTCTGCTTGATGGTGTGTAACTGAGTTGATAGGAGCCTCTGGTGTTGTTACTGGAGGTGTGATCCATTTAAAAGGTTTTATAGTTGTGTCTAATACAGCTAATTCAGGAGTAGGTGTTAGTTCTAATGCAGGTGTGCATCCCCCATAGACTATTATTTGACCATTAGCAGCTAAGAAATAAATATATAAAATGAAAGATTTTTTTAAATGATGATAAGAAACAAACAAATAATAATTATTATTATTTACCATATACAGCTGTATGTCCAATGCGGGAATTAATATCTAGACCACCAACTGTAGTCTGATCAATACAAAAAAATGATTAAGATTTTCCAATTAAAATAAATTTCTCATATTAAATTAATAATTACCATTAAATCCCAAGTGTCAGTTTTAGTATCATATAATGTAAGCTTTTTTTAAATAAATAATAAATTAATATTAAATTAATAACTACACATTTTTTATTAATTATTATAGTTATTATTTATTACCTTATTCATGGGAACTGCAGTTATAGAAGCCTTAGGAGTAATAGAGTATTCTCTTCCACCAATAAAAACAATTACTCCATTAGCAATTAATACAGCAGCATGGTCAATTCTAGAAGGTGGGATGTTTGGACCAGTTTTTCCAATTTGACTCCAGGATAAATTATTTCCATCCAGAATAAAAAAGTTGTTAAAATAAATGTTAGTAGGAACACTCAGATCATATAGTCCGCCATGAATATATAATTTGCCAGTCAATGGATCACTAACACTTGCAAATTCTCTACGTGTTTCAGGTGCCACTCCTTGAAAAGCAGGTGAGTTTACTAACCATTGGTTGCTTTTAAAATCATGGGTGTAAACCACACTTTTCAAATTATAATCACCAGTTACAGTATTATTCATAACACCACCAAATAAAAATATTGTATCATTATTTGTGTTGGAACTAGCTTTAGCCCATGATATTGATACTGGCAATGGTGAAGTTGTAGTTAAGTCCTTCCATGGTGGAGTTGTTGCATCAAATGGTTGTGACAAATCAAGAGAAAAAAATTCTCTTGATGGTAGACCATTAGAGAAACCACCCATAACATATAAATTATTGTTAACCACAACGGTGGCATGTACATATCTTGGATCGGCTGGAGTTGAATTTACTAAAAATAAGCATTTGAGCAATATTAAAAATATTAAAAAATTTTTTTTAAATGTCATTATTTTTAATTGGGTTGATTGATTCAACTACAAAGAGTTAAAGAAAAAAGACCGCATTTTTTATTGACTGTTATTATATTCAAATATCAATTCATTTGATTTTTTTATTTTAATTCATATTGCACAGTACACGTCCAAATAAAAATAAACGAATCGTTAATTTGACACCACATATTTATGTTGATGAAAATCCAACAAATTTAGTCTTTGTTTTGCTTACTCAAAATAAATATTTGAATAACAAGATTTTAGCAGAGGATGCGCAGTGAGCTTTTTTGAACTTTATTAATAATATGTGTAATACAAAAAAAAATCTGTGATTCTCATATTTAATATATATATTAATTAATTAATTGGCCAAGACCTCTTTGGTTTACATTTTTCAATCTTGCATA